GGCACATGCGCAGTTCACCTCCCATGTGTAACCTACAGACTGACTTTACACACACACACACACACACACACACACACACATACATAAACACACACACACACACACACACACACACACATTTACATGCTGAAATCCCCACTGCTGCTAGCTAACATCCACTTGTTGTCAGCAAAACAGGTCCATGTTGTTTGCGTTGGCAATTTGTGTTTTGGGTGTTTGAAAATGTACATGGTGTTTCTTGTGCCAACATGAAGCTGAGGGCTTTATCTCTCTTTATCAACGTGAGAATCACAGGAGACATTTGTCACTTTTTATGGGCTGAGACGTCGACCTTGCCGCAGTACAGCAGACACACACACAGTATATGTTACACATGTGCACTGACACCCTCCCTCCCCCTATAGGTCTGTTTAACCCTTGCAGAATCTGTAGCAGGCACGTCTTCTCTTTCAGTCTTCTGCTCTCTCCTCCCCCCTCCCCTTTTGTCTCTCAGCTCCTGGCAGTGCACATACCATGAGCACACACATGCACACACATGCACGAACAGCCGTAAAGCAGATCTACACACACCCCCTTTCAGTGAGATCACATTCAGCACAGAGCAGTTGCAGGACACACTGAAGCCCCCCTCTGGCATTTTGATTCCTGCACTGAGCTGTCTAACTCAGGACCAAGACGTCCCATCTGCAGATAGGTAGGTATTAATGCCATTGTTTTATCAATTCAGTCTCATACAGTGGGTTTCTGCACAGGAAGACACTCATGTTACTCAAAGTACATAGTGTTCCCTCTTGACTGTGTGCACATGGACTCACAGGGGGTGTGGATTGAGCTGCCCATTGAAGAACATTTCTATATGCTTCAGAGAGGAGCTCAAAAACCTACAAACAGAACCTGTTTGAACTGGACACAATGTACTTCTAGTGCTTTATAATATAATATAATATAAATATAGAACCACTTTTACACCTTTCCCTCCTATTTTATGCTGCAATCATTATTCTTTCTTCATCTTGTGTCCTCATGCCAGAGAATTTATGCATGAGAGAGCCTTATATCTGTTAGAGGAGGTTTTTCCATGCAGGGAGTTAATTGCTTGGCATTTAATGCTAATGTAATTTAGGCACTTCGCCCTTTTTTTTCTCTGTGGAATATGAATGAGCACTTATTTAGGGAACAGCAGAGGCCCGTTAATGTGGGCTGCGCATGGCGAGCAGAGGTTAAAATGTTTTAAAAAGAGGATTCTGTTGTTCCCTTTTCTCTGCAACTATTCAGCAACATGTCTGAGGTTGTGGAGCTCGCACGAGTGCATTCGCTCAGGACTACATATCCCCTAATTCATAGGCTTGTGAAATTTTTAAAACTTTATCAGGTATGCGAATCGCAAACCACAACGAGCTGTGGATAGGCACGGGGTCAGGTGAGACAGGCCAAGAACGCTGGTTAGATAAATGATGTTAAGTAATTAAAGTGGTGATTTATGTGTTTTGGAGTAAGAGACAATGAATGTGATCACAATGTCTGCAGAGTTTTGAAGTCAGAATGCAAACTTTGCAGACGAAGTGCCGAGTTTGTGCGTTTTTGTGCGCACAAAGGCGATTCTGGCAGTCCGCATGCAAAACAGCAGCGGTGCGTTCAGACCAATTGTGCAGGTTGTTGCGTAACATCTGAGATCGCGGTGCATTGATGTAACATTACACAAGCGTCTGTAAGTGATAATGGGTGATAATCTTGTGGTCTTCATGCTGTTGGTCGGTTCTCCCAAATCACACAAAGCACATTCTCACTTCTCACTGGTTCCTGTAGAAATTCCAGGTTGTACTTGCAGAGCAGAAGGAACAGGAACAGACTCTGAAAATCAGTTAATTTTATATTTTAAAGAGAAATGCATTTTTTCGTTATTGTAGGCCATCCTTTAACCCAGTTTTCATAGTAATTTTCTTGTGAGGGTGTTGAACTGTTCAGTTTGGCAGCTTCTGGCCAGAAATAAAAGTGTTTGTTGGGCATTAGTGGCAAATGTATCCAAACTAAACATGACATTGTTATTGTTCTGCAGCTCGTCTGGATCCAACACAAAGCTGGAACGATTAGTCGATTAAGAGTGGATCAACAGAAAAAGAAATGACTTCTCAACTGATTGATGGCTTGAAAAATGACTGAATCAAAGAAAGTGATAAGAGTGAAGCAAGCTCTAGTTCCAAGCTCTAAAATGACATCCTCAGTTTTGTCATTTTAAACTAAATATGTTTGGAAAGACTGACGATTCATGAAAGAAATAATCAGCAGATGAATTTATGGTGACCGTTAGTCTACAGTCCAAACTTTCTTCTGACAGTGACCTTGGAAAAACTTTGAGTTTGTTCCTACAAGGACATCAGTGTGGCCCCTGCTCCCACTTGCTGTTGAATAAACACAATATAGTTGACTATATAATATAGAACTACATTGATTACTGATTATAAAAGACACTTGTGAAAGACAAATGTCCTCTCACTTTGTTTAGCCCCAAAACATGTAGCAGTGTTACATTCCTCTGACCTTTGTAGCATGGTTGCCATTAGCTGTGATGAAGACTGCAGTCCATGCTGTAACCTCTTGCACACAGCTGCCACTAGGTGGCACCACTCAATGGTTGGACTGGGCTGTCGTTCTGATCATGTTCCAACAGTCCTGAGACAGACACACACACACCAGTTCACTCATCACACTGTGCATGTGCTGTGAAATATATGGATGTCTTTAGAGTTTTCTTCCACTACTCCTGACACATTCAGTGTTTGGTGACTACCTGTAGTTTCAGGCTGAGTACAGTTGGGTAGGACCCCCCCCCCTCATTGGTTCTTCATCAGTGAAGAACCATGTCAACTCTTTCGTCCTCGTTGCCCAATCTCCCGCCTTTGTACTTCTGTCGTGGTCACTGCCCCCTCCCGCCCCTGACTACTGTGTACACATGTGTGCCTCCCTCTCACATGTTTATCTCCTCCCACCTCCTCCTGTGCACCCTCCCCCTTTCATCAACTCACTTTCAACTCCACTGTCTCTCTCCCACTCTCTCTCTCTCTGTCTCTGTGTCTCTCGGTGGCTCTGGGATCCGTAGGCGTTCGGAGGACAGGAACAGGACAGGACACACACCCTCTGCACCAAGCATCACAGACATGTCGGACTCCGAGACTGCCGCTGCCCCCGCTGAGGCCCCCGTCCCTGCTGCTTGTGCCAGCATCAAGGCTGACCTGGACAAATGGTAGGTGACTGTGTGCATGTTGCAAAGAGGTGTGCATAAGAAGAAATAAGTGTAATTGTCCTTCACTGAAGAACAGTCCTTGATCACGACACATGAGCACATAGGAAGCTCTGGCAAACCTTGGTGCACCTCTTGAACAAGTTGTCCTCTGGCTTCAAGAGTTGCCTCCAAACAGTCGCAAAACAGAAACAGAACAGCTGAAGGCGGGGAAGCCCTGAGCAAAAACCTGACCATTTGAATTATTTGCGATTGGCTTGAATGCCGGCTAACAAGCTGTCTGACAAAGTGCAGCTTCCAAGCTTAGAGCAAATGTTCCTCAAAATTCTGAGCTGATTTAACATTGCGCAGGGCAACGAGCATCCTAAAATGCGCCATGCTAAAATGGAGTCTCTTCAGAGGAGACTGTGGTCAGCGCCGAAACCACCAGGAGAGAATGAAGTCTTGCATGCTAAAATATAACTGAATTGGACATGAGGGCTGGGCGCAGGGGGTAAAGGTTAGGAAAACTTGGGGTACCCTCGGTAGGGTGAGTGATTTGGGGATTAATAAAGTGGGGCAGCGGGGTGATGTTTGATGCTCATCCATACGCTTGGATGAAGGCTGGGAATCTGCTTGCGTCACTAGCTCAGTCCCCAGAATACTTTGCGTTAGCTCGTCCTGTTTGTCCCCACCATCTCCTTTTGCCTCTTGCTGTGTCAATGGTCGGGGACACTAGCTCAGTGATATTGGAGGGTTTTTGTTGCATGTATTCACAGCAGACACTGTTCTCTCTGCATGTGTGTGCAGGTCAGAGGGAAGTGCAATGACATGCACATCTTCTCAGTTTCTGCACATCAACGGTCCACACCTCTTCTCTGGAACAGTCCATTCTGACAGATAGGGGTTTTTTTGGTGGATGGTTGTTGTGTAAGCTGGGGCCTTAAGCTGTCATTAAATGGATTACTATAAGCAGTTAACTTATATCTCTACATTTGTTGAGCACTTGAGGCACTCATTTTCTTGCTGAATCTCTTCCAACCAGACTGTCAGACATTGATAAGGTGTCAGTGGATGTGTGAAGCCTTTAGATAAGACGGCAGGTTGAAACAGAAGAGGCAGGGCTGGCAAGTCAAGGTGTGGTTGGTTGCCTAATCATGTGTAAAAGTTGTACATTTGCCAACTTTGACACTACCCCCCCCCCCCCAAAAAAAAAAAAAAAAAAAAAAAACCTTTAGAGCTCTATCTGTTACAATGTACAGGCTTAATAGTTCTTTCCATTTTTAGGTTTTAGGAATAGAAACCGCTACTTTTGTGTTAAACTGCAATGAAAGACATTGTTGATTCTGTCTTCAGAGGCAGGGCAGTCATAGTGAGGGGCCATGTCGTTTACTGCAACTTGTTAAGTGCAAGTAAGCCTATACTGGGAAGTCTGGCCAAGGGCAGCACTCTATAGGGTGTTTCAAAGCAACAAATCAGTTTATGCTGATAAGGCGTGCTACATATCATGGTTTTGGGTAATTATTGTATGTGGGTCATTACATGCAGAACATGGACCCATGACCTTGAAAGGTGCAAAGTCAGGTTGCACCAGCATTAGCAAATAGGGCCTTAAACTGCCAGTATTAATCTGAGGGCCACAGTGGCTCCTCACAGTTTACAGTTGCATACTTGACCCTGTTCGGTCTGGATACTTGACCTATGAGCTTTTAATTGCACATATTTCCCTCAAAACTTGGTAGAGACCAAAAACAGAGCTGTGAATATGACTTCATCAGGTTGCCAATTGTTTGCTGAAAAAGTTAGCCATATCAACTTAAAGGTTATGCGGTGTACTAAATGACTAAATACACTGCTAATCAGTTTGTTTTTAACATAAAAAAAAATCAAACTAAACAGACTTTGATGTGTAAAATCTGTAGTTTATAACACAACCCTAGTCTGGTCTGTGAGCTAGAAATACCTTGGCTAGAGGGAGAACCACTTTTCCACTTAACTCTGTAAGCTAACCATGTTTTAAAAGACCAGTGTGCGGGATTTAGTGGTCAAGTTTCAGATTGGAACTAACTGAACAGACTGAACTGCTGGCATCTGTGTTTGATGACCTGGGAATGAGAACCTATCTACAGTCAGTGTTTGGTT